GACTGTTGTCCTGTCCTGTGATTGACTGTTGTCCTGTCCTGTGATTGACAGTTGGCCTGTCCTGTGATGGACTGTTGTCCTGTCCTGTGATTGACAGTTGTCCTGTCCTGTGATTGACAGTTGGCCTGTTCTGTGATGGACTGTTGTCCTGTCCTGTGATTGACAGTTGGCCTGTCCTGTGATGGACTGTTGTCCTGTCCTGTGATTGACAGTTGTCCTGTCCTGTGATTGACAGTTGTCCTGTCCTGTGATTGACAGTTGGCCAGTCCTGTGATTGACAGTTGTCCTGTCCTGTGATTGACAGTTGGCCTGTCCTGTGATGGACTGTTGTCCTGTCCTGTGATGGACTGTTATTGACAGTTGTCCTGTCCTGTGATGGATTAATGACCCATCCAGGTGTCCCTCTGATGGACTGTTGGTCTGTTCTGTGATGGACTGTTGACCTGTCCTGTGATGGACTGTTGGTCTGTCCTGTGATGGACTGTTGGTCTGTTCTGTGATGGACTGTTGGTCTGTTCTGTGATGGACTGTTGACCTGTTCTGTGATGGACTGTTGGTCTGTTCTGTGATGGACTGTTGGTCTGTTCTGTGATGGACTGTTGTCCTGTCCTGTGATGGACTGTTATTGACAGTTGTCCTGTCCTGTGATGGATTAATGACCCATCCAGGTGTCCCTGTGATGGACTGTTGGTCTGTTATGTGATAGACTGTTGGTCTGTCCTGTGATGGACTGTTGACCTGTCCTGTGATGGACTGTTGGCCTATCCTGGACTAATGACCCGTACAGGTGTCCCTTTGGCGGACTGGTGACCTGTGTCTTGGTGTCTCACATACATGTCCCTCATACAGGGACTGTTGGACAGGTACCATTTTCATCATGACCTGTAAAGGAAGTGGATATAAATTTATGCAGTTGGGATCAGATGAAGCCTGTTTTGACTTGAATTCAACTGGACAGTATTTAAAGGGCTTTAGGTCCAAGTCTGTCGAAACTGAATTTACTTTGAACCTGGACTCTAAACAAAAAAATGTTTCAAGTCAAAAATATTAAAAATGTCAGATTTTAACCATTTTCTACTTAGTTTCATTACATTTATTTATATTATTTCTGTGACTAAAGACACAACTAAACCATCTTTCTGCTGACATAAACATCCTTACGGTTCTGCAGCTGATTTCATTTTTACCAGTTTCTGTTTGTCCTTGTTTATACAAGAGGATTAACGGGTCAAACCTGGGCCAGGCCCGGGTGAAGTGGAGGACAGAGAGGGGAAGGAGGAGAGGAAAGCAGATAGGAGATAGTGTCAGTTAGACGAAGGACGGAGGAGAGGAAGTATGAAGGAAGCATTCGTCTTCTCTTTGAAGGCTGACTGAACTTTTTACTGAGAGTAGAGAAGAGTCGGGTGACTTCCTGTTTGAAGGAGAATCTCCAGCCGTTGACCTCTTTACGTTGATTTATACCGACCATAAAAATGATCCAGTTTCTCACGCCGCTGATAAACTAAAACTTTTAATAAAGATTAGTTTTAAAGGGAACAGGTTGAAACTGAATTCTGAGGGTTCGAATGTCCCGATTTTATAAATCCTAGACCATTTTCTTTTTTCACGGGTTACAAAACTGCATTTTAGACAGTTTATGTTGTTTCATCGACCGGACTCTGGAGTGGACGGGCGGATGGATGGATGGATGGATGGATGGGTGGGTGGGTGGACAATTGTTGAATGGATAGATGGAAAGTTGGTTTGTTGGTAGGATGGATGGATGGGAGGATGGGAGGATGGTTGGGAGGATGGATGGATGGATGGATGGATGGATGGATGATTGTTGAATGGATAGATGGAAAGTTGGTTTGATGGATGGATGGATGGATGGATGGATGGATGGATGCACGAATAGTCGGGAGGATGGACAGACTGATGGATGGTTGGGAAGATGGACAGATGGATGGATGGATGGTTGGGAAGATGGATGGTAGGATGGATGGATGGATGGATGGATTGGAGGATGGACGGAAGGATGGACAGATAGATGGAGTAATGGATTGTTGGGAAGCTGGGCAGATGGATAGATGGATGGATGGTAGGATGGTTGGGAGGATGGACGATTGTTGAATGTATAGATGGAAAGTTGGTTGGATGGATGGATGGATGGATGATGGATGGATGGACAGATAGTCGGCAGGATGGATAGACTGATGAATGGTTGAGAAAATGGACAGATGGATGGATGGATGGTTGGGAAGATGGATGGATGGGCAGACTGATGGATGGATGGATGGATGGATGGTTGGTTGTTTGGACTGAACTTGATCTGGTCACGTTACACTTGGTGGCCCGGGGACTGACCCAGAATCCACTGGCAGGATTATGGATCTTCTTTGGTCTTGGAATCCCTTTGGGTTCCCCCAAAAGGATCTGGTAAGTCTCCTGGACCTGTTGGCTCTGTGACCTGATGACTCAGAGAACGACTCTCAGCTACTACCACACATTTATCTCTATCTGCTGTTTGTATTGACTGAGGTGGATCATCTGTGGAGGCCATCTTTAATTGAGTCGAGTTTATTCAGTCTAAGTTAAACCTTCATTGATTCATGAGAAAATTTGCTAACAGACAGACGAAGACTTTGACCTTTGAGCAGCAGATGAAAGAGTTTTCAGTCGGACTCATTCAGACCCCTTTGCTCCTTTCATCCTGCTGGTTCTGTTTCCTGTTGTCCTGATGAGGCGTCTACGTCTCCCGACGCTCCTTCATCCCAGTCCTCCAGGTCTTATCTTCGTCTTCCTCTCCTCCTCTTCGTCGGCTCCGTCTCCACTCTCTCATTTTCTTTCCATCTTCCCCCCACATGTGGTTTTGCTCTCCGTCCCTCCTCCTCCTCCTCTCTCATCCCTCGCTCACATATGGTTTCTCTTTCTGGATGTGTGTGCGTGTTTTGGTGTTACCTAGAGTTCACTGGGGCTCCCTGCTCTCTCTCTCTCTCTCTCTCTCTCTCTCACTCACACACACACACACACACACACACACACACACACACACTTAGCCTGGTTCTTGGTGTTTGTCGCAGAGTTCAGCAGGGCAGCTGCAGGTTATGCAACACTTAAAGAGGAAGAGGACACCTCCTCTTCACTTTCTGCATTTTTCTCCTGTTTGTGTCTGTTAGCAAAATATCTCATGAACCACAGCCCAAACATAATAAAACTTGTTCAATAGATGTATCAGATCTGAGATAAGAAGGATGATGTGATGAATCCTCCTCTTCCTCCTCTTCAGCTGCTGGACCTGTTCACTCAATGGGACTGGTCCACTTACCTGGCAGACTACGGCAAACCCAGCTGCAGATACCTGAGGGTCAACCCCCACACCGCTCTGGCCCTCCTGGAGAAGTGAGTAATCTGTCTGGATTATCATCGGTGTCCAAACTACGATTATTTATGTTTATCAGGTTAATCACTTTCCACCAGCAATCTGCAAAATGTTTTATTGAAAAAAAAGAAAGAACAAAAGTCAGGATGTTTAATTAAATTAAAGTGATTTTGTTCATGAAACCGGTTGAAACAAAGAAGTAGAAATGTTTACATAAAGAGACTTATAAATGGTTTATTATCAGGTTATAAACACAAAGCTAGTTTTGTTAGCATCAGTGCTAATTGTCGTCAGCTGTTTATTATGAGGGCTTTTCTGGTATTTGCAAGTAAAGTTTTCTGCAGTACAAAGGTGGGCGGAGTTTGTAATGTAGGTGGAGTTATTCTTTGTGGGTGGCATTTGAAATAAAGGCGGAGTCTAATGTAGGTGGAGTTATTCTTTGTGGGTGGCGTTTGAAATAAAGGCGGAGTCTGTAATGTAGGTGGAGTTATTTGTGGGTAGAGTTTGAAATAAAGGCGGAGTCTAATGCAGGTGGAGTTATTCTTTGTGGGTGGAGTTCAAAAAAAGGCGGACTCTGTAATGTAGGTGGAGTTATTCTTTTTGGGTGTAGTTTTAAATAAAGGCGGAGTCTGTAATGTAGGTGGAGTTATTCTTTGTGGGTGGTGTTTGAAATAAAGGCGGTGTCTGTAATGTAGGTGGAGTTATTCTTTGTGGATGGAGTTTGAAATAAAGGCGGAGTCTGTAATGTAGGTGGAGTTATTCTTTGTGGGTGGCGTTTGAAATAAAGGCGGAGTCTAATGTAGGTGGAGTTATTCTTCGTGGGTGGCGTTTGAAAAAAAGGCGGAGACTGTAATGTAGGTGGAGTTATTCTTTGTGGGTGGAGTTTGGAATAAAGGCGGACTCTGCAATACAGGTGGAGTTATTCTTTGTGGGTGGAGTTTGAAATAAAGGCGGAGTCTGTAATGTAGGTGGAGTTATTCTTTGTGGGTGGAGTTTGAAATAAAGGCGGAATCTGTAATGTAGGTGGAGTTATTCTTTGTGGGTGGAGTTTGAAATAAAGGCGGAGTCTGTAATGTAGGTGGAGTTATTCTTAGTAGGTGGAGTTTGGAATAAGCGGGGTTTGTCTTAGTGGTGGAGTTTCACAAAACCTGGATTGACTTGTGGAGGACGTTAAAAGATGAAGTAATAGTAAAACTAGTTTAAAGACCACAAATTTTGTGCGTTTAGCACTATGACTACTATAAATATTTGAAGTTAACGATTTTTTTGATTAACGCTTTCTGGCTGTTTTGACCAGCCTTCATCCAACCAACTCATTATGGCTTCTTTAAACTCCGCCCACACCCCAAGAACCTCCCACTTAGTAACCAGTGCTGCTAACAGTCACAAGTAGAAGTTGTTACATTTTAGTTATGATTATTTTACATTTTTATTATTTCTTTATAATTTTTATTATTATTATTGTTTATTATAAATCTTATTTGTCTTTTGATACAAGTCTTGACTGAACTGTAAAGCACTTTGATCAGCTTTTGTTGTTTTTATTGTGCTAATTAAATAAATTTGACATTAACATTTTTAGTTATTATTATTTAACATTTTATTCTGGAAAGATTCAAAACAAATATTTGTTGAAATGTGTCTCCTGATAAGTTAGCTCAAGTTTACGAGAGCAGCGGTTTGAAGAAGACTGACCCAGTATAAAATCAACAAAATCAGGTTTTATTTAAGTTTTAACAGAACCTAAACACGTCAGGTTTAACTAACTGGATTATTTATTTAAATGAGAAGTCTTATTGTAAAGTTGAACCCAAATACTGTACATAAAGTGGGATTGTGAATAATCAGTATCCTACCTGCTCCAGAAAACTTTGAACTCTGAGTTTGGTTTAAGTTTTTGTCACTTCACGACTTTTCAGCTGAACCTACAAACAGCTGAATGTTTGCAGATTTAAACCAGAAAAAGTCAAACTTGTTCTGGTTTAGTGGAAGTGGCGTGACTTCCTGTTTTTCATCTTGTTTCCTTGTCTGTGTGTGTCGTCGTGTTCTGACAGGTTGTTTAAGCCGTGAGTATTTTCTGTTTGATGCAGGCATGGACTGGGATTACTGCTAACCGGTTTGTTTGTTTGTTTTGTTGTTGTTTTTTAAAACCCGAGACTCACGGAAGCATGAACACACGGATGATAAAACTCACCTGGAGACAAACGCCCGTGTTGATGTGAAACACAACCTGCATGAAAACAAACATTCAATCTGCTCAAACAGCAGGAAGTGTTTGTTAAAAACAGCTCAAATCTCAGGAAACATTTAGGTTTGTAACGACGAGGCGGTGTCGAGTTTAATCCGTCTAATCCATCTCTGCTTGCAGGATGAAGGAGACGAGCAGGAAGAACAACGTCTTCGCTCAGTTCAAGAAGGCGGACCGGGACCGTCAGAAACTCATCGACACCATCATCAAGCAGCTGCGGAACCTCATCGCTCAGCATCACGTCTGAGCCCGACGTCTTCCTGCTTCCTGTTGCAGATCTGTGACCATGTTTACTGGTAGAAACCCTGCTGTTTTAGACGTTTCTGAGCCCTTTAAAAGAAACACGTAGGACAGATTATGTTTGTGAGCTAATTCTGAAAACAGGAGTAAAGTTTAACATAATGGATGCTACAGGTTTCAGCTCCAACAGCAATATTATAATAAGGTTAACAAATAAGAAACTCTGTCGCCTTTGAAGAAATCTTCCAGGATTCTTGAGTTTTTTTCTGCTGGACTCCATATTTGTTTTGTTTTCTTCTCGGCTGGAGGAGTCGTGGGGTTTTTGTCTTTTCTCTAACCGATCCGGTTGGTTCCAGTCGGACTTTAATCGTCTTCCTCTCTTTGTCACGACAAAGTGTTTAGGATGGAACTTTGGAGATGTTTCATCTTCTATGGTAAAGCACTGAAAATGAAGAGAATGTTACTGCAGTACAGAGGATGTTCTGAAGTGGGGTTTTATGGAAACATTAATCACAATCTTACCTGTTTCAGTTCTTTGAACAACATCATTTTGACTGAACTGATGAGCCAATGGCTAGTTCTGTCTTCAAGCAAATTCGATATTGATCATTTCTACACAGCTAGCTGTAGCACTTCCAGCACATTATTTCTGCTGGTCGGCCCGGCCCGCTCAAACTTTTTGTCCAAACTGAGCTTGTTAAAAACCAACAGCAGGTTGAGTTCATGTTTCACTGGGCTGTGATGCAAAATTGTGAGGAAAAAAAAGGTATTTATTATTTGTTACAGTATCAACAAAGGTGTTTTTAAAAATCATCCTTTTTTTTGTCCAGAGCTTAAGCGTTTTTGTCACATAGTTGGAATTGTGTTTTTCTGGGTCAGAAGCTAAAAACTTTATTTGATCCAAACACTAAAATAACAAAACCAAGACCTGACTCTGGAACTCTGACTCTGGTTGGATGGAATTTTAATGAGGTTGATGGATGGTTGGACGAATGAATAGATGGTTTGACAGATGCATGGATGTACGAATTATTGGATGCATGAACAGACGGACGATTGGTCGGATGGATAGTTGAATGGTTGGATGAACTGATGGTTGGTTGGTTGAATGGTTGGATGAACTGATGGTTGGTTGGTTGGTTGGATGAATAGATGGTTGGACAAATGGTTGGTTGGATGAATAGATGAATTGTTGGATGGATGAATAGATGGATGGATGGTTGGTTGGTTGGATGGATGGATGGATGGATGGATGGATGGCTAGATGGACGGATGGATGGATGGTTGAACGGACAAATGGTTGGCTGGATTGATGGTTGGATGAATGGACTGATGGTTGGATGAGCTGGTTAAAGTGACAGCAGGTTAAGCTCGTGTACATCGGACTGTGACGCAAAATTGCGAGAGAAAAAAAATTTTTTGTTACAGTATCAACGAACACATTTTTAAAAATCTCTTTTTCTCATCCAGAACTTTTAACATGTTTCTGGTCCATAGTTTGATTCAAAAGTCTCTAAAACAGATTTTTCTGGTTCAGAAGTGAAAACTTTGTTCGATCCTAAGCTTAAACTTACAACAACTCTGAAAAACGTGATTTAACGTCTTTTCAAAATGTATCGGCTAACGATGGACGGACACCAGTAAACTTCATAAAACTCCACTTCAGCAGCAAAATATATTTTTGAAACAATCTGCAAATACTTGAACGGCTGCCGGCGGCACGGCGAGCATCAGGAGGTTTGAGACAAGAAACTTGATCCGAGCGAAGCCTTTTTCTACTAATCGTGTGTAAAAAAAACCGGGTCTTAAAGAGGGGGGATAATGTTCCAACCTGGCAACCGCTTCACAATGTACGGCTTATTGTTTGTGTGGAAATCATTGTACGAATGCCAAACACACACACACACAAACATTGTGTCTTCCATAATGCAGAGTAAACACACATATTTAAAGCACAACACTCGATTGTTTCTCAAACTAAAGGGGTTGTTTTGGTGCAATATCAGCATTTTAAAGGGATTCAAACCTGCAGTTTGGCCAAATGAAAACTTTTGTTTTGTGATTAGTCTCATTGTTTTTGGTTTTTAAATGTTAAAGGGAACGAGGCTGTTGTTATTGAATGTGCCTTTTTGCTGTACTTTATTTTGTTGCCATTGAAGCAGCAGCTCTGCGGTGTTCGGACTCCGGATACAGTTTATTGAATGTTGACGCTAAATTGTGCCCATAAACAAACTTTTTTTTAACAATTTAGAGTCAATCTGTTTGAGAAATAAGAAACTGGAGTTCCGTCTTTTTCTAAACTCAGTTTTGTAGATTCTTCTTTTTAGCATGATTAAATAGTTTTACGTTGGTGTTTTTCTGTGCCGCATGTCTGCCTATCTGTTGTCTTTTCACTGCAAAAGTTGCTGCAGCTTTATTTTTTTTATTATAAATGTTGCTACATAAATACTGCACTCTGTTGTATTAGGCCACTAACTGATGAAAATACTAACAGATTAAATAAACTGCAAATCGTTGAATATTTAGTTTTTGGTTGTTTTTTTTTTTTTAGCTGTATAAAGCTAATGTTTTTATATCAGTTGTTGATTGGAGCGGGAGGGGTTATGTTGTTCAGGCCCCTCCCCCCTCTTCATCTCTCAGGTGGCTCTGAAGCTTCAAACCAAAGTTTGTTGGAGATTCAAAAAAACACTGGACAATTTTCTCCCATTTTAGGGAAAAAATTGGACAAAATGGAGTTAGACTATCCCGGTCGAGCCCCCAAAAAAGTTTGTTCAATTTACGAAAATGGCTAAATCAGTTGAGTGAAATATGATACCAGGGTCACTCAGGAAAACAAAAACAGGAGAGTGTATAGTTGATGTCTGACTGACTTCAGTGACCTGAGGCTCGATTTATCGGTTTTATTGGTGTATTTATTGTAACGTGATGACTTAATTTTTATATTCATGCTTTAAAACAAAAGAGAAATTATATATTTTTCTAAAATAAATTCAAATAATACTACAATAGTTTTTATACACTTAAACTTTGAAACAAAAACGGCATCCATCGTTTGAATAACATTCAGTTTATGTTGAAACATGTTACTAATATGGGTGCAACGATACAGAAAATTCATGATTTGGTTCGATACTTTAGTCTCACGATTCGATATTTTTTCGATACAAAAAAGAGAAATGTCCATGCCCCTTTTAAATTGTAATTTATTTAAATTAATTATGAACATTTGTTTAACCTAAATGTTGCTGAAACTGCAAGTTTCTCAGTGGATCTGCGCTCAAAAATGCAGCCTAGGTGGAGTAGTCGAACACAGATCCACTGATCCTTCTACACAGAGCATCTTCACAAGACAAGTTGATAAAGTAAATTTTAAAAATCTGTATTGTTCGATACAGGTGTGTATTGAACCTAAAGCACTGTTCGATACGGTTCGGTATGAGTACATGAATTGCTGCACCCCTAATTACTAAGTATAATATTTCAATAAACTAGCTTTTATCTTTTTAAACATAAATTGTTCTGGAAGTTTTAATATCAAATTTATTCAATAAATGTATTCTTCGAATTGTAGTACAGAGTTTGAATTTTTTTATCTCTATCAAAGTATTTACAGATAATATACACTCACCGACCACTTTATTAGGTACACCTGTCCAACTGCTCGTTAACACTTAATTTCTAATCAGCCAATCACATGGCGGCAACTCAGTAAAAGAAAAAACATCCAGTGAGCGGCAGTCCTGTGGGCGGAAATGCCTTGTTGATGCCAGAGGTCAGAGG